GCAGCTGCACCTGTTACAAAAAAAGTCTGAAAGTGAAAAATGCACAGATTTTTCAGTCACACAGTGTTCTGAAAGTGCATTTTCCACTATTCTGCACTTTAGATGGCTGTTTGGATACTTTTGAAAATGAGTGTTGTATCCGGATACAACGTTTCAGTATCGATACTTTTTTGAGTATCGATACTTTTGACAACCCTAATGGCTATCATATGGCAGTCTTCTGTACAGTGATGCAGGTCATAGATTGAAAAATGTTCATAAATTTTTTTTCTCTTAGACATTTGAGAGGTGCATTTAAATGTTATAGAGCTAAACATGTTAAATTGGTGACCTGTTATGTTGTTATTGTCTTGTTGCTGCATTTATTTTGTCAGGGAAAACTAATCCATAGTTAAAAGTCAGGGAATTCTGAAATGATCTAAGACTGTGGAAACCCTGAATAAAATAACTATGTATAATGATTCTCTAGAAAAGTCACATTATATTAATAGTATTATCTTGTATAAACATACCGTGACTCTAAAATAAAAGTTATTCATTTGTGACATTGACTTCTGTCTTGTGATTTATCTTAAGTTTTTTTTATTTTTAACATTACAATTTATATTTCTCCAAGCACACAACAGTTTAAAGCAAAGTTTAGTTTGAAAAGAATGTGCAGGAAGGATTGAAAAGCATGTTAACACGGTAATGTAGGCTTGAGTTCATTATCTGACGCATGCATATACACACCAGGAACCTGGAAACTTACTGAATTACAAAAAAACATTTAAAAAACAAACATGTTTCATTGATATATATACAAAAATGAATATTAGGAACTATATTTATCAAACTAGGCAAGTAAAAATTGTTTCTGGGCAAAAGAAATGTGAAAGTCACTTGCCCAAAGGGCAAGTGGTAAAAATCCTTAACGTCAACCCCTGTTTGATAACCAAATGCAGTTAGAGTTAGATCTGCAGCTTTGCTGACATGCTTCCTCATGCAATGCATAAAACAGCCAGAAAAAACATCTCTACTGCAGAACTACAGCTTTTAGAGCAGGAAAATCCAGGATGACCTGCTGCCAAGATGATTCAGAGTGCTTTCCTGGGCCTTGTAGATGCTAGATAAAGAATAAAAAATCAGGCTGAAGACGGAGAGGATATGGATAGGCACAGCGTGGGAGCTGTCGGGGGGGCACTAAATGGACAGGCATGCCTGTTGGAGCTCAGTTATCCGTCTGATCCTGAAAGCCAAACCAGCAGAGAGGCAGGAAAGAGCCGGACACTTTTCTTTTCCAACTCAAGTTCAGACATTGTCTCTCTAACAAACCCTGTTTATTCTTAATATATTCAACATTTAATTAAATTGAGTTTAATTATGCAACTAAAATTATATTTGTATTTGAATCCACTGATGATGCGTTAGTTTTCGATTTAAAAAAGCTCCACATTTAAAGTTTCAAAGCTCTCCTGGAGCCATCACAGCAGATTGTAAAACTACACCCACACGCTCTAACAAAGAAAGAAATCAACGCTACATCAAAGCAGCTAATTACAGCCTAAGACTTGATGCATTAACGATCCTAAATGAAACATTAGTCTAACAAAACACAGTTAACAGGTTGAATTTTAAGTTGGATCATTTACATATACGCCTACTAAACGCCTACTTCAGGGTTCCCTACCTTATTTCTAACTCATCAGCATCCAAAAAACCCCTCAAATGCACGTGTTAATGTTAATGATCATTCAGAAGACAGTAAGATCATTACCAAGGTAGCGCTCAGCTGGAGTGGCGGCACATAGAACCCAAAGGTGCCGCCAGAGTTAGAAGTTGCACTCATTAATAAAACATCTATTCATCAGGAGAAAGTCGTTTCACTAACAGACACAACTAATATTTGAGGTTTGCCTGCGATTGACATGAGAGTCTGACGGCCATTTTGAAAAGGGGGGTGCTGTTTATACATTTTTTTCTTTTTTTTTTTTTTTGCACAAAAGACCTATGAGCCTATTGGCCTATTTAAAATACAATTAATATAAATAAATAGATTGAGATTTGCTACTTTATTGTCATATACACTTCATTGCATGCAACCAGGGTGTGTAACACACAGATATAACCAGTTCTAAGGTAAATATCTGCGCTATTAAATAAACTTCACAATAACACTATAACAACGTTGATTTGGTTATTTGGCATGAACCTGAGTCACTGTGTTTATGTCACACGTGGCTCTATTAGCTCCAAAATCCTTTTATGCAAACCACAAGATTATATTATACTATTTAAATGTTATTGAACAGTTCTCCACATCCATTACACAAAGAACAGAGGAACACTACCGTGAAATTGTGTTAATTAGGCCTCAAAATAATTAAATTCAAACCAAATACGCATAATAGTAAAATAAAAAATCCAAAATACTTTGCACAAACGTATAAATTGTGCAAAGTATTTTCAATACATTAATACATTAATCTTCCTGTCGCCACTAGTAGGTGCTGCAGCGCCCCCATCACCCTAACTTCCTGGCCAAGTCTGAAATTGAAAAAAGGATAGACTTAAGGGCTGGTTCTACTCCCGCAGCAGCTTATCGCAGGTATGATGCAGACATTTTTGATTTATGCCCAATATTGAAGCGTGGTCTGCGCTATGTTATTCCACGCCACAACGCAAGAGGGACAATCAGGAACTAGCTGTGGGTCTAGATCCGGCCGAGGAAGTGAGGAAATGGGGGAAGTTTGTGTGACAACGGAGGAACATGAGGGCGAAAAAGAGCAGGGATCCAGGTGGAAAAAGGGTTGCAGCGTTCTCGCTCTTCTAGCTGGTCCATCTTCACGAGTCGTTTTCCACAATGGCGCTCAAACAAACAAAACAAGCCGGTAAGGTACCAAACAGGAAATACGCTTACAGTAGAGCGGATGTAGATTTGACCAATCAGAGGCCTCCTGTCTGCGGTCACCTATAATTTGGGAGAGGTTCAACAGAGTGTCTGCGGAAGGGGCGGGGACGTCTCTGCGTTCAATGCGACTCACACGCATACGACCTGGTTTCTGAGTATAAATCAGCCTTTACAGTCAAATCGTGCTCTGCCGGTTACTGTGCACTAATGAATCAACAATTCACAAATGCACGTATTGGCCAATGCCAATACAAAAAAATAAAAATAAAAAATTAGTCAAAACAATTGTCTATCTATATGATATTGAGATTACATATATTATAAATTGGCACAAGGCAACAAACTTAAAAGATTGAATACATGAAGACCTTACCTGCATTAAGTCAACATCAGATTCAAAGCAAAGTAACCTCATAGCTATCTAACAGTGACATTCATCAAGAACAGAACCTAGAACAGAATTTAAAGCCCTGCAGGCCTCACTTACCTCCATTTAGTTTATAGTTTATTATTTAGCATAAGAAAGGGAACAAGAAGTAATGGTATTCATAGTTTTAGAGAGAAAACCACTGCAGACCAAAGCCTCCAACATAGTTGGGAGACCTTAACTCTGCAGATGTCTGTTTCCCTACTCAATGGTGACTCTGTACAGATGTCCGACAAAGATACATGTTTTCTATGCGACATTGAGTATTATTCAAGACATCACTGATGTGCCCAGAGGACAGACACTCATAGGTCTGCATTATGTATACCACCTCCCTTTCTGTTTGTTCACAAAACAAGGCTTTGTTGGGCTACTGTATAAAACCTCGAACTCACGCTACTGCTGACATTTTGAAGTGAAAAAGCTTCCTTGACTGGAAGCAGAACGTCTTCAAACTTGGAAGCAAAGTCCAGTGGATTGTTTGTGATTTTCTTTTTTTGGAATGACTATGACCTGGATGACTGAGAATCTTCACCAACTTAAGGATTTTGCCATGAGAAATGTATGAAAGTCTGTGTTGCTCGCAGTGTACGCTTCAGAACTAAAAGGCTTGTCTCAAATTTGGCAAAAACCACCAACTGATCCTGGAGGTTTGGATTAATATGTTGAGGAGCAACGAGAGAAACGATGTGTGTGAGAAGAATAAGTCTGGGTTGCTCTGGAGTGTGTGCCTAAGGATGTTTTCAACCTTTATAGTCGAGGGAACCTACTCCTACATTTCTCCACACTGTCATGGCGTCGACAGACAATGCTGCCTTCTAGCTTTAAGGAAAACAACAAGGAAGGAGGCAAAGTCTAATTAGATACCTAGTGTTGTTTTTTTCTCCAACTTTTTGACTGATTGCTCTAAACAATGTGTTGCTGCCAGCTATCCCCCGGGGAGATGATGGGAACCCTCCTCAACTCTCAACTTTTAGATTGCATACCCTACAAATTCAAGAAATATACTTTTTCCAAAAGAGAGGAGTAATACCTGACCGGATGTTGTCTGAATGAAACTTAACAACCACCTTAGGGATGTTTTAAAAGAACATGGATCAGCAGCACACCTCCAGCAAGAAAGCAGCTTTAAAAAAAAAACACCCTCTCTTCGTCTATCTGAACTTCCATCTCTCCAAAGATTAGCAAAACACTGGTTATACATAATACTGAGGAGGATTCAGTCCAAACACCAGTACAGAAATCTGCTGTACTCTGGAAAAAAAAATCAAAGGCTTGAATCTTGGCGTTCACCTCTGATGCTTTGAGTTTCCAGTGCGGGGTTTGGGATTTTTATTTAGTTAATCTTTCAAACAAAAACTCACATCCAACAATCTGAGATGCCTCAAACTGCAGGCTGTATTTACCAGGAATTATTCATCTTCCATTAACGGTGTATTTCTTGTATCATCATAAGAAAGCAGTAATCCTACTCTATACATTGCCATACAGCTTCTTGTATAAAAAAGATGAACAAAAAGGGTAAAATATTTATTTATAGTTTCATCTAAGAGAGCTTTTTTAGAGATGTAACAAGCTATATGAGAGTCATCTGGGTTTCCTTTTTCTCCACACCAAGGCAAAATCCTCTTTCCTCCTCAACTTTTATCAAAAGCTCTGTATGGGTTTACTTTAAGTCCTTACCTCATGCCTTCTGTGGATTTGTTCTGATAGTTGCAGTAGAGCTGCGGCGTTCCGAGCATTGCCTCGGTGAAAACCGCCAGGAAGCCCAAGGTCTCCACAAACAGCGCGGAGTCCAGTAGGAGGTAGGTGATGTAGGCTGCCACCAGCGTGAAGGCCAGCACGCACTGAACGTAGTCCACGAAGCGACTCCATGACCAAAAGTAGCTCCACTCAAAGTCTAAATAGCAATAGAGAAAATGAAAAGCGAGTTAGAAGAATTGTTAGTATAACAAGTATTAGTACAAAAACCCTTTCACTGAGGAGCTATCAGGATTTTATTACTTAAAATTTAACATTGGTGGTATTTAATTTCCATAGCACGGTTATTGACATGTAAAATGGCAGAATGTGAATTCCAAAAAAGAAAATAAAAATTAATCCACTTGACTTTGTTTCCAAGTTTGAAGACGTTTCTTTTCGCATCCAATAACCTTTTTCAATTGAAAATGTCAGGAATAGCGTTGAATTCAATGATTTTTACAGTAGCATAAAAAAGCCTTGTTTTTGTTTTGAAAACATGCAAACTGGCTTTTTGTGTTAGACTGTAATACCCCATACCTGTCCAAGTCTTTGAAAGGTTGGTCGTTAAAGGTCGTTTCAGAGACTTAGACGGGTATAGGGCATTGCATTCTAACAAATAAGACAAACAACCCCCATTCCAAATGGGTTGACCTCTCCGTCCGTTCCAGTTTGCATGTTTTCAAAACAAGGCTTTTTTGCGCTACTGTATAAAAACTCAAACTCAATGCTATTCCTGTCATTTTGAATTGAAAAAACTTCCTGGATGGGAAGCGAAACGTCTTCAAACTTGGAAACAAACTCCAGTGGATTGTTTTTCATTTTCTTTTTCGGAATGACTATGACCTGGATGACAGAAATTTCCCCAGCAGTATGGTAAAGAAAAAAGGCAGAAAGAGGAGTCGTATGATGTCTAGCAATGAAGGAGAAAGTATAAGAATCAGTAGTGGGAGAGGAAGTGACAGTTTGAGGCATAATCTGTCATAATGTAGGTGCTGTTCAAATCTGCTGTAGATAATAGAGAGTTGAGAGAGTTGAGGCAAAGCAAATTCAGCCTTGGTATGGTCTTAAGACACATCATGACTGAAACAAAAGGATACAAGTGGCTGAAATAACCTTCTTTACCCTGGGGAGTATTTTACAGGTTTCTATTAAGCGAGCAAATGTATCGACAGACAGACAACCATCAGTGTGCTTAGAAAGAAGTCCAGTGAGCACCAAAAATGTCCAACTGCAACCATTATTGCTTTATCCCGTTCTCTCTTAGAAGAGGAGATTGTCATTGTCTGGGTTTTGTTTTTTGTTTCTTTGACAGCCAACATCTTTCTCTGAATAAATTATGTTACAGTTAAGCCAGAACCAATTACTTTGTTGCTTAATAAAAGCCATGTTTTGTATTGTTGGTCACACTTTATCGTACGTCCTCACCCTCTGGCTCCCCCATACCATCCACTCTTTCAAAATACCATCAACTAACCTAAATGCCTCCAATTTTCCTCACCCCATAGAAGCGTCCAATCATTTTCTCTGTCATTTGTTTACCAGTGACTTCCCTGGCTGTTAACGCCTTTTTTTTAATTAGCACACTCAATGTTTTAAAGCAATTAGTTGTGTTTAAAAAGACTGAATTCAAAATGAGCATCAGAATTGGGAAAACAGGGGAGTTAGGTGACTGTAACCATGGCATCCTTTTTTGTGCAATATAGGCTTGTTTAAGTATTTCCAAAATGCTGATATAGTGGGAGTTTTACACAACCATTTATTAAATGTAGGTGAAAACAGAAAAAACAGGTGTGAGTGTGTGGGTGGGTGTGTGGAGGTAGTGGATGCTCAGACAAAGGTGCCTTAATAATGTCTGAGAAAAAGTTGTTCTGACAGGTTCATTGAAAAAGACCACATCAGGTGCCTTTTTCTGTCAGCTAAGAAGAACCTAGGTCCGGAAGTTTTCACAGATAAAAACAGGTTTGGAAATAAGCTGCCAGGTCTGATGGGTCTCTGTTCCAGTAGCGACCTTTAGCCACAGCAGGGGATGTAAACAACATGATATCATGGATCCAACCTGTCCTTATCATTTAGTCTGCTGCAGGAGTAATGTTGCAGGAAAAAACGTCTTAACACCAAACAATCTTAACAGTTTCTAACAAACCATATCACCAACCATGTCCCTCCTCTTTATTTCCAAATTTACACTTATGCCACTGGAAGGTCAGAGTTTGAATTACATCATGGAGATCATGGCATTACTTGCTTTCTTTTTAAATTCCTAAATTTACTTTGCACTCTAGAACAACATCTATTACTACAGTAAAGTGACCATGAACGCAGTTGGTAAAATACACCTTGTCTTAGTCCTGCATTCATTGGTGCTGCCACGCTCTTCTTCCTACAACATTTTGATTCACATGGGCAAAGTGAAGTTCTTAACTTCAGTGGGAGCATTACTGCCCTTGGCATAAATATTTCTACGCCTACAACAGCTTCTCTGGATGTCATTTAATCTCTACAGTTATACTTCTCTCTGTGATTATAATCTTCAGCTCTGTGTGGCCTTAGAAGGGGGCTGTATGACCAGTTACTTGGCTTTCTCCACAAAAAATGACAGGTTTGGTCTTGTTCTTGAAGCTGTAAGAACTCTTACTGCTTTTTTGACGCATAATACAGGCAGAGCCCTCACTAGCAGAGGGTTAGAGATTGTGAGAGACAGTGGACCACAGTCAGGGCTGGACTGGGAGATTTTTTTCAGGCCAGAAGTCCAGGAGTTATTAGACACCAAGAGATACATTTTCACTGTTATGCTGATGATACCCAGCTATATCTTTCTATAAATTCAGATGAGGCTAACCCATTACATAGATCACAGGCATGTCTTGAATACATTAAAACCTGGATGACTCTTAACTTTCTCCTCCTGAATGCAGACAAAACAGAAGTTATAGACTTTGGACCAGAGTCTTTGTAAAAGAAGCTGATTAGTCAGTCACTTCATTTGTTTGGGATTAAACTGAGCTCAGATAATAAAGTTAAAAAATCTTTTGATCAGGACCTGTCATTTAAATCCCATATCAAAGTGGTTTCTAGAATGTCCTTCTTTCATCTGCAGAGTATTGCAAAAATGAGAAATCTCCTGTCCAGGGGTGATGCTGAGAAACTATTCCATTCATTTGTTACTTCAAGGCTGGACTATTGTAATTCTTTACTATCAGGAAGTCCACAAACTGTAGTTAAAAGCCTTCAGCTGATCCAAAATGCTGCAGCCAGAGTTATGATGAAAATGAAAAAGAGAGATCATATCTCTCCTATCCTGGCTTCTCTTCATTGGCTTCCTGTTAAATCCAGAATAGAATTCACATATAAAGCCTTAAATGGCCAAGCTCCATCTGATATCAGAGATCTGATTGTTCCTTATGTCCCCAACACTTTGCTCTCAATCTGCAGGTTTACTAGTGGTTCCTAGAATTTCTAAAAGTAGAATGGGAGGCAGATCTTTTAGTTATCAGGCTCCTCTCCTGTGGAACCAACTACCAGTTTTAGTCCGTGAGGCAGACACCCTGTCTACTTTTAAGGCTAGGCTTAAAACTTTCCTTTTTGATAAAGCTTATAGTTAGAGTGGCTCAGGTTATCCTGAGCTATTTCTATAGTTATAGTTAGCAGTCTAAGCCTATCGCAGCATAACTGCAGAGATAGCTTAGGATAACCTGAGTAAGCTTTATCAAAAAAGAAAGATTTAAACTTTAAAAGTAGACAGGGTTTCTGCCTCAAGGACTAAAACTGGTAGTTGATGCAGGAGAGGAGCCTGATAACTAAATGATCTGCCTCCTATTCTACTCTAATAATGCCTTTACAACTAAATGGGTATTAATTCACTTCAAAATATAGGAGTTTTCTTCTTACCTAGAAAAAAACCCTGCGCCTCATCTCCCTCTTTATGTGCTGCCTATTTTAACACGGCCATATCACACCAAAGTCTGAGACCAGATGCCAAATAAAAAAAAAACGGATTTCCAGGACTTAGACATATGCTTAAAATGAAAAACTGTACTCTGTGCAGATTAGCTGCTAAAAGAGCCAACTGGTCTTAACTTTGGTGCGGAAATATTGCACTACACCTCACATAACCCCTCCCTGATGGTAGGAGGACGTTTGTTTACATTGCTGTCACAGCATAGTTTAGGTAGGTGTATCCTTGGGAGACCCTTGCTCTATGTAAATACTCTCCAAACACTTGTTTTCACAGGTGAGGGAGGGATTGCTGCTCACACATCAAAACTCAGACGCATTAATCAAACAAAATGCCACTTTGTGCATAACTCTGATGAAGGAATAGAATTGGAACAGTTAAAAGCTCAAAAAAAGTCAATTTTCCAGGAGATTAGCCCTTTGAGTGAACTAAGGGTGTAAAAACTAACAAAGTTAGTAGGTTAAAATTAAAACACATGAATCATTGTTGCTAAAGAAAGTCTTTTTTATCAGATTCTTGTTTTACTCTTCATGTTAGGCTGTTAGCCAATGTCACACGTGAGCCGTTAATTTTAACACCACTCGCACAAAACCTCCTCTTATATTTACACCCCCCCTCCTCCCAAGCTCAAACACACAATATATTAAATGCAAATCTTTGCTTGTTTAGCTTTGAATAGGTTCCTAATAATGTTCATTTAAAAACAGCACATTTCTTTCCTTACTGGTTTAAGATGAGGATTAAAGATATGGAGAAGCTTTGCAGTGAGGTGTTATCTGACCTGGTATCACATCCATTACTTCCTGTGAGCATTCTCTTTACATAAAAGCAGACATACTTCAGGTTTGAAGACTACAAAGACTGCTTTATGTAACTGAGAGTCATTAATGTTAACCCTGAAAACCTAATTATGCCTTTGAAGAAAAACCATGCTGCTGCAACGATATATTTTAAAGGAATTTATAGAGGCCACAAACATAATAGAGAAGAATTGCTTCATAAAGTTATATTGAAGTTACCTAGTAAAACACACATCTGCAGAAACCACTCCATGCAAGCAATGCTGTGTATTTCTCAAGAGCAAGCCGACCAATAAAAACACATTAAATACAACAAAATAGCAGCTGCTGTTTGCTTTAACTTAGCCAGGAAAATAAAACGCCCCTACCGAAAAACCTATTAATCAGAACTTAATGAAGTCT